GTCTCTGCTCCAGTTACTGTCAGGCATTGATGGACGCACAAGGCCCTCAGGGTGTGGTTGTCTGTCCATCTCCTGCAGGTAGTGGCTGACACTTGGCTGCTTTTCCGCACTGAAATTATTTGTAATTTCATTGCAGACGATATCTGATAAATCAGCATTCTTCGCGACAGCGTATTGTCTTGATAATCCAAACATTTCTGATTCCAGCATGTGTGGAGGGGTGCTGGGGGAAGGGTGGGGGCCCAGGACAGAAAGAGAAAGCCTCTGAATCATGGTTAGAAACTGCTGTGACAGGAAATGGCAGGATGTAAATACGACTTGGCTCCCAAGGCCAGCTTCCAACTGGCTGACAGACTCGCGTGAGAGACAGACACTCGCACCTCATTATATGGGCAAGGCGGATTCAACTTGTCACTTCCAGCACCGGCTGGGCATAAGGCTGAGCAGAGACGGCTTCATCCGCAGCCTCATGTCTGAGCACAGGCCACTCACTGGCTTTCAACACACAACATATCAGAACGTTTTCTGCCTTCAACAAAGAAGCAAAACTCCGTTCTCCCTTCCGAATAAGCTGACCCCCTAGAACACAGTGCCCAGCTGGTCACCACCCGACCCCCTGTCTGGGCCTATTGGCCAGTCAATCCATGTGCATTTAGGCAGAACAGTTCAGACTGCTTTTTGTGCCCGTGAGCTAGCTGTGGCTTAGTCAGTAGCACATCCACCTTCAAAGATGCTAAGTTCAAGGCCTACTGTGAGGCTTGAGCACAAAACTTAAGGCTGACCTACCAGTCCATCGCTGAGGGAGTGCTGTACTGCCTGAGGTCAAAGGCACTGTCTTCGGAGGAAATGTGGAACTGAGGCCCCTCCAGCCTGCTGGGGTGGATCTCATGACCAATATGTTTCCCTTAATCAACATCACTAAAAGGTTTGCTGCTCATGAGAGCTTGCCATGTGTACATCGGCTGCTGTATTTCCTACACCGCAACAGAGACAACATCCCAGTAAATTCATTGGCTCTCAAGTGTTTCAGAGATGTTCAGCATTTGTGCCAACCCACAACACAACAACAACAAAAACAGAATTTGTTGGAAAATCTCAGCAGGTCTGGCAGCATCTGTGAAGGAAAAATCAGAGTTAACGTTTCGGGTCCGGTGACCCTTCCTCAGAACTTATGCCAAGCCATTAGGACTGAAGAAATGCAAAACGTTTCCCTCCCCAACACCCATTTGATTCTAAAGCATGTGCCAGGTGAGACAACCTGTCTTCATTCTGAATCGACATCTTCATGTACAGCACTTGTAGCTGACTCAGTGAGGGACTGGCCTTTGGCTGTCCCAAGCTAACAGTGGGTGGTGGAAGGGAAGAGGTGCCAGTTGCTGTATTCTAACCAATAAGCCCTAGCTGAAAACGGCTGACACCAGTCATAAATTGTCATTGAATTTCAATCTACTTCACTGTGAAGAATGGTGGGACTGGAGAGCCCGATTTTTGTCCTGCTTTACCAACCAACCACCCCCCCCACCCACCTCCGCCTGCCGTCAACATGTCTTACACCCAATGGAATGGTGGAAAAACTCTGATATGCATTATGCAGGGCAGCAATATGTGAGCACGGCGCTGGACAAAATCACAAGGAAATATTACTGGTGGTGAACGGGTGCCCCTGGCAGAGTGCAGTTGGATTCCATGTCTCTGGGGGCATGGGGCATGAAGCTGGTGAAATTAGACAGTAGTTCTGCTTCTGATCACAGTCCAGCCATTCCTGCTAGAAATGACAGGTGTAGAGGACAGGGCTGGGGAAGTGATCCAGTCATTCACTCACATGCCACTTTGGCAGGGCACCAAAAGGTCACACACACACAGAATGGCACCCAGAGCGGTTGCATTCTGCGAAGGTGAGTTTAGAGCAGAACATGGTGTGTATGTATGTGTCTGTGGCTTTGAGTGTGTATGTCTGTGTCTATATGTATGCATCTGTGTGTGTGAGTATGTGTCTGTTTGTGTATGAGTGTGTGGTTGTGTATATGTGAATATGTCTCTGTGCATGTGCCTGTGTGTGTGTATATATGTGTGTGTGTGTGTGTGTATGTATGTACGACTATCTGTGTGTGAGTATGTGTGTGTGTGTGAGAGTGTGTGTCTGTGTGTGACAGTATGAGTCTGTGCATGTCTCTGTGTGTCTGTGTGTGTGAGTGAGTGTGTGTCTGTGTCTGATAGTATGTGTCTGCGTGTGTCTGTGTGTGTGTGAGAGTGTGTTTCTGTGTGTGACAGTATGTGTCTGTGCGTGTGTGTGTGAGAGAGAGTGTGTCTGTGTGTGACAATATGTGTCTGTGCGTGTCTCTATGTGTGTATGTTTGAGAGTGTGTCTGTGTGACAGTATGTGTCTGTGTGTTTCTCTATGTGTGTGTGAGAGTGTGTGTCTGTGTGTGACAGTATATGTGTGTGTGTGTGAGTGAGTGTGTCTGTGTATCTATATGTGTATGTGACTGTGTGTGACTGTGTGTGTGTGTGACTGTGTGTGTGTGTCTGTGTGTGACAGTATGTGTCTGTGCTTGTCTCTGTGTGTATGTGTGTGAGAGAGTGTGCGTCTGTCTGTCTGTGTGAGAGTGAATGAGTGTGTGTGTTTGTGTGTGTGTGTGTGTGTGTGTGTGTGTGTGTGTGTGTATATGCATGACTGTGAGTGTGCGCATTCCACAATGGTCAAATCTGATTACTTCGGCTTGGAATCAGAATGTCACTTCAATACATTGTAGCTATGAGACTCCTTACGTCACAAGGCAGCACCCTACCGTCCCATTTATTTTACAGATTCTGTACAGTCGATACAGTTAATAATGGGAAAGAATGTTAAATATGTAAGTGTTATACTGGGGCAGCTTTGACTTTATTAAAATAAAAAGAGGATTGGCACATTGACCTTATAATTCAGTTCAAGTCCAGCCCAGACAGACGGATTTACAGTCTCTGGTGCTTGTAAGGGTCCCCTGTGAAATGAGCTTGAGGCCGTGTCAGTTCAGCTCCTCATGCGTGTGCAACCACAGCTTACAGACACTGAATTTACAATCTCACTCAGGGACTAGAAGGGTGGTGACTGGAACAAAAGACATTTTCAAACAGCTGCAGTAGGGGGCACTGTGTAGTGATAAAGACACATTTAATGAGCCCAGAGCAGAGAGAGAGGCAAAGAGTTTCGTCGCTTATCTTTGTCAAAATCAAAAAGAAGCAAATTCCAATCACTGCCAGCCAGAGATAAAAATCCTTTGTTTTCCAGTTGCAACGTGTTATCGACTTCTAAATTCCCAAAAGGGTGCATGAACAATCCATTAACTTGGAAGAAGAACATAAGAAATACGAAAAGGAGTAAACTATCAAACGGTTCAAGTTCACTCCACCATTCAATACAATTATGGCTGATATAAAAGAGGTTTGAAGGTCTTCACAACGAGAGCATGAGCTTCTTTTCAGAGCAACCTTTTTGTGCTATGAGTATAAAATTGTTTTTACTCCATATCATGGCTAAAACTTCTGCCTCAGCTCAACGTTCTTGCCTATACCCCATATCAATTGAAAACCCTGAGAGATCAAAGATTTATCCAAGCTGAATGGACAATATAGAATCAGAGATAGTAGGAACTGCAGATGCTGGAGAATCCGAGACAACAAGGTGCAGGGCTGGATGAACACAGCAGGCCAAGCAGCATCATAGGAGCAGAGAGGCTGACGTTTCGGGCCTAGACCCTTCATCAGAAAAGGGGGAGGGGAAGGGGGTTTTGAAATAAATAGGGAGAGTGGGAGGCGGATAGAAGAGGGATAGAGGAGAGGATAGGTGGAGAGGAAACAAACAGGTCGAAGAGGCGGGGATGGGGCCAGGAAAGGTGAGTGTAGGTAGGGAGTTAGGAAGGGGATAGGTCAGTCCAGGGAGGACGGACAGGTCAAGGGGGCGGGATGAGGTTGGTCGGTAGGAGATGGAGGTGCGGCTTGGGGTGGGAGGAGGGGATAGGTGGGAGGAAGAACAGGTTAGGGAGGCAGGGACGAGTTGGACTGGTTTTGGGATGCGGTGGGGGGAGGGGAGATTTTGAAACTTGTGAAATCCACATTGATACCATTGGGCTGCAGGGTTCCCAAGCAGAATATGAGTTGCTGTTCCTGCAACCTTCGGGTGGCATCGTTGTGGCACTGCAGGAGGCCCAGGATGGACATGTCGTCTGAGGAATGGGAGGGGGAGTTGAAATGGTTCGCGACTGGGAGGTGCAGTTGTTT